TGGGATTGGCCAAGGTCAGGTTGTCACCTAGATGGTACCCGGAGATCACCTACTGGTTGTTCCTCATGAAGCCAGGCCAGTTCAAGACTGTTCTTTCTCCAGCTTCTTGGGGCCTTGGAAGAACTGGGGGGGGGGGGGGCTCCTGAATCCAATCAAGTCCCTCCCAACACTATTGAATTTGTTGAGGGTAGAACTGTGTCCTTGCCCAACACAGTGCCTGGCAGGCAGTGGGTGCTCAATAATGACACCTGTAACTTACTGTGTTTCCAGCACTGTTATAAGAGCTTTATAAATGTTAACTTATTTAATTCCGTCATCAACCCTGCAAGACAGGTTCTGTTGTTATCCCCAGGAGGTAAAGCACCCTGCCTAAGGCAACCCAGCCAGCGAGAAGTCCAGGTAGGATTTGAACCCGGGAAGTCTGGCTCCATCAGGCTCTCTCACAAGCCAATTCGTGTTTGTTAGATGAATGTCACTCCTGAGTAATAGGAACACCTGGAACCAGACTACCCAGGCACAACAGCCTTGGGGATGAGGTCCTCGGGTCCCCATCCTCCAGCGGGCAGGGTTGAAGGTTGAACTCCAGCCCCAGTTTGGGGCTTGAATGGCCCTTGGGGTCCTGCTGACATCAGGCAGAGTGATCTCTTAGGAGGCTTTTCCCAGGGCCTTGGGAACCTTCTGCTGCTTCTCCCAAGGCCACCCTGATGGGGCAGCAGGAGCCAAATCTGCAGCTAGGAGTGTGAGAGTGTGGAAGGAGGAGTCGGGAAGGGCCAGGAGTGGACAGAGGGGATCTGGGAGTGGGTGTCTGTGAGATAAGTCCTGAGGGAACCTTTGGCTTTTCTCTTTCCAGGGGTAGATGTGGTTGTGGATGCCCTGGGGTCAGAGCCAGAGGACATCTCATTGTGTGTGTAGGGTGGAGGCTTCTGGTCTTAGGACCACCTGACGTGGATTGAGAAGCTGCAGAAAGCAGAGGGGCTCAGCTTGGGGGTAAGCAAGGAAGGAGAAAGAAGGTCATGAGGTTGTTGCTTTCTTACTGGGAAAAGAGGCTGGGAGTCACCTGGGGGAGGCCAATAAGGAAAGGAAGGGCGCAGATGAGCTGAGCCAGGTGCAGCCTGATAGAGTGATGGGCACCTACCGCACAGGAGCACTCAATTCAAGCAGAGGTCCTCAGGAATTGCTGTCCTCCCCCCCCCCCCCAAGATCAATTAGCAAGATCACAAATTCTGGCTTCTCTTCTCCGGTTCCAAATGCTAGCTCCTTTGGTGGTTGATAGTGAAGGACTGACCACAGGGCAGTGTCTTCCTTAAAACCTGCAGTTTGTCTGGATTCATAAGACCCACGAAGCTCACTTGAACTTTTCCAGTTGTCTGTCTTACCCCCATGAGGCTCAGCTAACATGTGGGTAATTGAGACTTCCTCGAAGGGTCCCATGGGAGGGTTCTCAGGCTTGGGGTACTTCCAGGGGAGGGAAATACAGCTGTTGACCACCGAATAGGCTGGAGCCTGTCATGCCCAGAGTTCTTTTGGGGTCCAGGAAGAACCCTTCCCTGGCAGATGCCACAGGATGAGCACGCAGAGGGGAGGTCACTAGCCATGCTTAAGGAAACATGTCGAGTCATTTCTCTAAATTTGATATTATGGTACTCTTACTTAAAAGGAAGTACAACCGCAATCTACAAATAAAAGGAAAACTCATTTCTGGAAATACCCTTAGGCTGCAGGGACCCCAAAAGCAGTACCAGAGAACCTTTATGGAGAGCAGCCCTGGGCAGACCAGAGCCCAGTGTGGCCTGAGGCCTCTGTGCGGTTGGCTGCCTTTCCTGACCATTAAACGCTACTAAGTATCATTACCACTAATAAAATTAACCGACTTGATATTGGACCTGGGAACCATCAATCTCAGGACCTATTACATGAAAACTATAAAATCAGTGACTGTCAATTAGTGGAAGGGTTTCACTGAGTCCTGCTCACAGTGCAGCTGAGGCAATTCTGGTGCTCTACAGCTGTCAAAAGTGTAACCTTTTGTGTGTGTAGGATGGAGGCTTCTGGTCTTAGGACCACTCTGACGCGGTTTGAGAAGCTGCAGAAAGCAGCTCAAACAAAGCCCGATGTCCTTAGCTAGACAAACCAACTCTCAGCCTTTACTCTGCAGGAAGACGTGTCTTAGGCAAGAGAAAAGAAAAGCCTCAGGAAGACCTTGGGACCAGAGCCTGAAATGTTCCTCCTCGTCTCATCTCTGGTTCTTCCAGTTCATTTGGTTCATTCTTTTTCTCCCTCTTTGGGTCAGCTTCCTCTTTTGTGTTACACGCTCAGTCACCCAATGAGAGAAAGGGAGAGAAAGCAACTGTATGTGCTCTTATTCAAACTCCAAATTCTCAGAGAAAGGACTGATTGGCCCTGCGTGGGTCATGTGATCATCACTGACCCAATCAACAGATCAGAGCAGCAAGGTCATGCAATATGAAATGGCCAATAGGGACCCCATGGTAGCCATGTAGATAGAAGGAATGTGTGGGCAGCTGACCCAATTAGATGTCCACAATAGTTTTTTAATGACTCAGTAATAGGCACTAAAAAATGGTAGGTATACTAGCATACATATAGTATAACATTTAATATAATAAATATATAATATATTTTTATAATATGACATATATAGATATAATGGTAGAATAATAATAGCTATTATTCTTTTTTTGGGGGGGGGGTACTGGAGGTTGAACTCAGGGGGTCTCAACCACTGAGCCACATCCCCAGCCCTATTTTGTATTTTATTTAGAGACAGGGTCTCACTCAGTTGTTTAGCACCTCACTTTCGACTGAGGATGGCTTTGGACTCATTATCCTCCTGCCTCAGCCTCCCAAGCCACTGGGATTACAGGCTTGTGCCACCACGCCCAGCAGCTATGATTCTTAAAATGGCATTTGAGACAGGCCTTGAAGGATATGCAGTCCCATTGATCAAGATTCCCATCACTCCCTGCGTGTTCTCTGATCTGTCAATCAGCTTCTACAAGAAAGGTCCCAACTTTTGAAACAGGAATTGTGTGAGCTAAAGTTTCCCCTCCCACCAGCCCCCGTTGTGGGGAGGAGGAAACTTGGGGTCTTTGCAGCTGTTTCCTTTGCTCCCAGCAGCCCCCAAGCCGCCCACTCTGCTGGAAGTCAGTCAAGGTGCGTCCTCCCCAGCCAGAGCTGACCTCAGGTTCTGCTCCAGGCCTGCCAAGGGTCAAGCTCTGAGGTTTCCTGCCGGGTTGCAGGGAGGGGTTCGGGTGTAGGCCTGGTGGACTGGAAATTTACCCATTTGCCCCCAGATTAATGATTAACGGGCCCCTGCCCTCACCCTGTCTGGGAGGGGAGCCCAGGGCCAGGCTGGGCCTGGAGGAGCCTGATAGCATCTGTCTCTGCTCGGAGGTTTCAGAGATACGCTCCACACTGGTTGGCTGCACCTGATGGATCTGGGATCTACAGAGCACCTGGGGCCTGGCCAGGATCCACACCCTCTAGTGAGGCTGCTTGCTCCCCAAGCAGACAGGGAGGGTGTGGAATCCAGCCAAATGTCCTGGGGAAGGCAGGTGACTCCAAACAGGAGAGCCTGTGCCCTTGGCTCAGTGGGATGATGGCCTCTCCTGCCCCTTGGAGCTTGGCCACAGGGCTTACCTGGCCAATGACACATGAGCAAAGGTGGCAAGTGCCCCTTTCAAGCAGGAGCTTTAGGAGCCATAGTCTGGTTACGCCTTTGCCTTTTGACTCTGGCTATGAGGCTGGCATGTTCCAGGAAGGGGTGCTTCCTCCTGCTGGGTCCTGGAATGGGGTATAATCCACCCACACGGGGTAGGGGGCAGGCCACCAGGGGATAGCAAGCATCTTGAACTAGTAGCACCATGTCACAGAAAGCTTCTGGAAGGAGGGAGGTTGAGCCCTACTTCTAGATCCCTCTTTGCTGCTGAGCAGTTGTATACCTGAGCCCTCACCATCTCCTCATAGAACCTCTGTCTCCTCCTCTGGACAAAGGGAGACTCTGCCCAGTTAGAGAGGAAGACATTCTGCAGAAGGGAGAAGCTTGGGACCCAGCCAGCAGGAAGGCAAGTTGTATGTGTCCCCAGGGCTGAGGCTCGTGCTTTTCATGTAATCCACGCAGCAACCCTGGGAAAGAAGGGAAGATCACTCTTTATACTTTGCAGAAGAGAAAACCCAGGCTTCACAGTTGCACAGGTAGGAAGTGGCAGAGTCAGTCTTAGAATCTGGCACCTAACTCCAGATTCAATGGACTTTGGATATAGAATAAGAAGTCTTGGGATTTGCCTTCATCCAACCATCTGTCAGCCTTCCTCCTTCTTTCCTTCCTTCCTTTCCTCCTTCCCCCAAGCATATACGAGGCTTGGAATGGCTAGATGATTGACAATGTACCTGGGATTAAACAACCCAGGTTTTACTGGGCAGTGATATAATGCAAGAGAGGGGCACATGGGGGACTGTGCCTAGGGATTTTTTTCTCTTATGCTTGCTCCTCTTAGGAAGATGTCCTCCTTTAGGAGGTCAGCAATGCTATGTGCAATGCTCCCCAAACTTCCCCAATCTTATCAGCTGCCCGGGAAATGTGACAAATCTATAGATTCTTGGGCCCCACTCCAGACCCATAGAATGAGAATTGCTAAGTGTGGGTCCTGGGAATCTGTATTTTAAAAAAGCACCCAGGTGATTTCTCTGATTGGGCAAATTTGGGAAATAGGACAGGTAAGAGCAGAAACTGGACTCTGGAAAACTTGAATTGGAGGTTCTGCACTAATCCTGTCACAAGCACCTTGGTCTCCTATGGGGCCATACCCACTGTGGTGTGGCCTGCTGCCCCCAAGGGCAATAAATGAAGCTCCCAAGAAGGACCCTTCCAACAGAGCCCCTTTTTGTCACCTGTCCCACGTCCACAGGGATGGTCATCCCTCGCCTTGCCCTGTCGAGACCCCACGGCTCACCTGTCTCCCCTCTCTCGTCCTGTGCAGCCTGACTGGGCGGGAGGTCCTGACGCCCTTCCCAGGCCTGGGCACTGAGGCAGCCCCAGCACAGAGCGGCATCCACTTGAAGCAGTGCGACCTGCTGAAGCTGTCCCGAAGACAGAAGCAGCTCTGCCGGAGGGAGCCCGGCCTGGCTGAGACCCTGCGGGACGCGGCCCACCTTGGCCTGCTGGAATGTCAGTTCCAGTTCCGGCATGAGCGCTGGAACTGCAGCCTGGAGGGGAGGACCGGCCTGCTCAAGAGAGGTGGGGAGGAGGGTGGGGAGGACCACAAGGGAGGAGGAGGCCTTGGGGGACCCAGCAGGTCACACCGTCCTGGGTTTCCTGGAACAGCCTCAAATGAGAAGGGCCTTGGGGAGTTAGTGAGGGTCTACTAAAGGCCAGTTGTGGCCTAACTACGGGTTTGGAGATAAAAGAGGATCAAGGAAGACATAAAAGAAGGGAGACACAAGTCCTTTGCTGGAGGAGCCCACAGATGAGACAGAGAGCCCCAGCCACTTCCCGGGGCCTTCTCCACACGCGTGTGAGGCAGGCACAGGAGCGTATAGGATCAGAGGCATTAGTTACAGCGTATAGGATCAGCCGCTGATTCACCAACTCACTATTCATCTGGCTCTGTTCGTTGCATCCCTGGACGAACCCCCGCCACTCCTCCCACTCTGCCTCCCTCCCTTCTTTCTGCATCCATCCCTCTGTGCCTCCACCCACCCATCGCCCCCTAAGCATGGAGGCCCACAGCGACCCAGGAACTGTGCTGGATGCTGGAGGGACAGAGCCAAATGTGTCCCATCTGCCCAATGAAAGCATGGGGTCTAGAAGGGAGATACAGGTCATTGGGTGACTCCATTGCCAAGTGCAAAGGGCTACAGCGGGGACTTTTACAACACTCCATGATGGTGATGGGGCAGGCATCCCCCCCTCCTTCTAGGCCAGCTGCTCTTGATGGTAGGGAAGGGTCTGGGGCAGAGGTAGTAGCCTGCTTCCCGCCTCTCCATGTGTCACACAACCCCGATACATTGGAGAGCAGGAGACAATGAGCCCCCCAGGAAGCCAAGTTGGGGCCACTCCCCAACAGTATAAGCATAGCAGTGGTCCTGGAAGTGAGGGGGATGCTCAGTTGGGGAAAGTCAGGCAAGAGACCCAAGGTCACTCTGATTGAAAAGTGTCAGGGAGCACAAGGAACCCACAGGGCATATCCTGCCAGCCCTCAGAGAGCATGGACAACCTCTGAGCTTCTCTCTTCCTTCCTGCTGATGCCCCCTGGGTGCCTGGCACAGGTTTCAAGGAGACGGCCTTCCTGTACGCGGTGTCCTCGGCCGCCCTCACCCATGCACTGGCCCGAGCGTGCAGTGCTGGGCGCATGGAGCGCTGCACCTGTGACGACTCCCCTGGCCTGGAGAGCCGGCAGGCCTGGCAGTGGGGTGTGTGTGGTGACAATCTCAAGTACAGCACCAAGTTCCTGAGTAACTTCCTGGGGCCCAAGAGAGGAAGCAAGGACCTGAGGGCACGGGCTGATGCCCACAACACCCACGTGGGCATCAAGGTGAGCACACTCCCCAGCTGCCCAAAGTACCACCCACAGGCAGGGAGCAGAGTCAGAGAGCAAGGTCTATAGGAGGCTAGCACCCCACCCCACAGCCGTCCCAGCACGGACTTCATGACCTCTACTGACTTTCTCTGAGCATCCACTCTGGTCCATGACCACACACCGGGACCACAGTAGAAGTTGGGAGGGTCCTGAGCAGCAATGGATGCCTGGGCAGTGGTAGGAGCCAGGCCTGGGACCAGGCTTTGGTGAAGCAGGAATGTGTTTGGAGAAGGGCCTTCATTTCAAGGTCAAAGCCAACATCATTCCATAGTTTTGATCTTGTGTAACCCCTGCTTCTCCTCCATTTCATGGATAGGAAGATGCAGGAGGCCCAGAGAGGGGAGGGACTTAGCCAAAGTCACAATAGTAGTGGGAGAACAGAGGGTAATAAGTATCTAGCTCTAGTGGAGGGAGAAGGTGGGCAGAGACCAGTGCTCCAATTCTTGAGGAAACTGAATTCTGTATTCTGTGTCCTTATCATTGAGGCCTCTGTGTTCAGTTGTGCAGATTGTATATGCCACAAAAGCTTCAGGCCAAGGCCAAGGGAGGAGCTGGGGCTGAGATCTGGCCCACACTGCTCTCATCAAGGTGTGCCCCTCCTAGAGGAATGGGAGCCTCTTGCCATTTGTCGACCTCACATGAGCCTTCCTGTCCCCTTCTCATCCTCCTGACACTCCTCTGTCTGGGTTGGCACTTGGGGGCTGGTATGGGCTGCTGGGCCCAGGTCTCTGACTAGGCCTCTACTCTGCCTCTCCTTGCAGGCCGTGAAGAGTGGCCTCAGGACCACCTGTAAGTGCCACGGCGTGTCGGGCTCCTGTGCCGTGCGCACCTGCTGGAAGCAGCTCTCACCATTTCGTGAGACGGGCCAGGTGCTGAAGCTGCGCTACGACTCGGCCGTCAAGGTGTCCAGCGCTACCAATGAGGCCTTGGGCCGTCTGGAGCTGTGGGCACCTGCCAAGCCAGGCAGCCCCACCAAGGGCCTGGCACCCCGGCCCGGGGACCTGGTGTACATGGAGGACTCCCCCAGCTTCTGCAGGCCCAGCAAGTACTCGCCGGGCACAGCGGGAAGGGTGTGCTCCCGGGAGGCCAGCTGTGGCAGCCTGTGCTGCGGGCGCGGCTATGACACCCAGAGCCGACTGGTGGCTTTCTCCTGCCACTGCCAGGTACAGTGGTGCTGCTATGTGGAGTGCCAGCAGTGTGCGCAGCAGGAGCTCGTGTACACCTGTAAGCGCTAGGCGGCTGCCCCAGAGCCCGCCTGCACTGCCAGGACCTCCACGGCCCGCTTGCACAACTGCCTGCACACACCGATACACGCACCAGTGCACACCGTGTGCGGCTCAGCGCTCCTCCCTCCACAGACCCTCGGCCTACCTCTGCCTTCCTCAACACTCAGCAAAGAGAAACAGGGCCTTGCCCCTGAACCCAAGGGTCCCTGACCTTGTTGAGGACTTGAAGCAGGAGGGCACACTGGGAAGGGACAGGGAGGAAAACAAGGGAGAGCAAGAGGAGGGCATGAATAGGTTGTGCAGCGGGGAGAGGTTATCTGGCCATCTCAATTCCCCGGATGTGTGGCCTGGAGCCAGCAAGCCATTGGGGGAACACAGGGGAGGCAGTGCCAGCTGGAAGCATATTTAGGCTTTTGTCTGGGATGGGCCAGTCCAGTCCCCTGGCCCTACTCAGATTGCAGCGAGCCCTGGGTGCCCTATGTTTGTACCACACCAGGGGCTTTGCTGTGCTGGAGATGGTGGTGGGAGCTACTTGCTTAGAGCAAGAAAAGCTTTCTGCTTGAGTGGACCCAAGTTGGGTACATGCCCCAGTTTCTTCAAACAGGCCTGAATTGAGGCTTCATGCTTGTCTCTACAGCTGAGTTACCCATAGCCGCTCACCCTGCTCAATTAGACCAGCAAGGCAGATAGGATGGGAGACAGTGGCCCCTCCTCATTTTCCCTGATGGTCAAAGGGACCTTTAGTTGCAGCCCAGAGGAGGGTGACAGCTTTCTGGTACCCAGTAGAAGCGCAGTGTTCCAGCCTGATCTAGCACTCATTCTGGCCACCTCCCCACAGCTGGGGTGCCCTGGGCTGGGAGGCCCCCACACCTGCTGACGTTGGTGATGCAGAAGAGCTGTTGGCTCGTGAACTGGGATTTGGGTTCCATTTCTACTCTCGTGGCTGCTTATCCAATTCAGGCTTTTGCTCTGGCAGAGACTTTGCTAAGCCTGGCCCCTCACTTGGGCTTCTACCTGAGGAATAGAAGTGACTTTGCTAACTTCCTTGGGTGCTGTGGACATTTCCAGGGCCACCTACGAAGGCTCTGTGTGGAAGGAGAGAAACTGGCTCACGCGCACAGGCAACCCACACGCATCTGACACTGGAACCAGGCAGGGAGTCCCGTGGAGCGGCTCACATCTCCTCTGCTGCAGGATGAAGACCTCACAGGGGTCATTTTGCTGGAGGTTATGTGCTTCACCACAGTAGGGCCTGAGGCCAGCCAGAAGGAAGTGACCTCCTTCGGGAAGCTCTGGGACACTTGGCCAGCCCCGCCGCGCCCCTCCTGTAAGCTTCCTTTCCTCCTGAACCCAGGGTTCCTGACCCTCTGCTGAAACAGGAAACTCCAGAATCAGCCAAGTGCTCAGAACCCTCATTGATGCCAGTTCCAGGAAGAAAGCCCCATGGCTGGGCCCAGCAGCCTCCCCGAGACCTCCAGGGGCCTGCACGAGCCACCCTGTCTCCAGTGGCTCAGGGCAGCCTGGGGATGCTACAAGGATCTTGGATGGCAGAGGCTCCAATAAGAAGCTGAACTGACCTGAGACTACTCACTAGATTGACTTTGCTGACCCAAGCAGCTGGCCCACATCTTGGCAGGAGGAGGAAAAAACCATCAAGGGCCCACTTTCTAGTTTTTTTCTACTTCCCTGCTGATTTGAGACTTGTTCTCTGCCCGCCCATCTGTCTTGCTCCTCTGTGACCCCAGCTCTGCCTCCCTTGGCTCAGGCTTGGGCATAAGGCAGCAGAGGCTGCACAGATTGGAAGAGGGACTTGGAAACAACCTGAGGCCCAGGGCTCCCTGACCTACCACCCCCACCATCTGCACCCCAACTCTATGGCTGGAAGGGTTGGGGTTGCAGGAGGATAAAGGGTAGACTCAGAGGACCTCAGCTAAGGCTGGCCACTGACCCTGGCACCTCAGGCCGTGGGTCTGGGTGCAGGTTCTGAGGGTGCCTCAGTTTATAGGGTCCTCTCAGTGCAGCCCTCTCCTTCCCTTCTCGTTCCTTGATCTCAGCCCTTTCTCTTTCACTTACCCTGAGAGACCCACCTCAGCCCAATTGGGACCCCCAAGGGACCAGAGCAGCCACTGTCCCTTCCTTCACTAGCTTTAAGGGAAAAAAGCTCACAGGGTATTATTGTCTACCTCACATATATAGTTTTTAGAGCAAACAAGAATAATTTATATAGCTAAGATATATGGGAAAGTATTTATGTTATTTATATAGTTTCTCTATTTCATGAGCAGCGTATATGGGGTTTGTGCTTCCCCTGAAATCCTGTGTCTTGGGAGATATGGCTTGACCTGACTGGGTCCCCCCCCCCACTCAACTGGACACCAGGTGGCCAGGAAGTCACATAAGCTCCTGTATCCTATGACCATGATGGTCCGTCTCGGAGCTGGTGAGCACGTGTCCCCTCTGTGATGAGTCCTGCTGGACTTGATCCAGATGCTCCTTGTGATGTCTTTGCAGATTCTCTGCCCCTCTGAGTCCCAAACCCCTTCTTCTGCTCGAGCAAAGGTGTTCTGTTCATAATAATGACAAGAATGATGACACCTGGCTTTTGTGAAGCAATTTCAATTTTCAGAAATACTTCTATCTCTTTAATCCCCCTTGATTTCCTCATTATCCCTGTGAGGTCGTTGGGGGCCACATTACTGTGCCCATTTTCCAGATGAGGCACATCTTATTTTCCAGAAAAGACTTGTTCAGTGAATAGTTAGTGAATGTCTACTGGACCAGGCGCTGTGGGAGCCGACCTATCCTGAGCCTGGGAGCCAAAGCCTAGATCCCTCCTGAGCCCAAGGACTCAGGAAGTGGCTTCTTTCCTGACCTCTTGGATCTGGATGTCATGTCAGCATTTCTTCCAAGCTGAGTCCCAAGTCTCAGAGACTGGGACTGCCTGAGAGGCCTTGAGAGACCAGGACCCCACTGAGGTCATTCCAGGGGAACCTTCTTGCCCTGGAAGTTTGGGCTACACCACTGGGCCCCTCCTAGCCCACAGATGTGTTTTGTTTGCTCTCATTTGTGTTTTTCCTTTAAAAAGGAATTGCTTTCTGGATTTTTCTTGAAGAATCAGTTACACTGGGAAACTAGGCCTGCTTTCCCACCTGGCCACAGTCAGCCAGCATGAGGGAGCCCTATTAGACAGGATGCACGGGGGGGGGGGGGGTGGTCCCCAACTTGTGACACTTCCTGCCCCAGCCCTCCTCATCATGCGTGCTCCTGCCCGGCTCTCCTGAGTAGAGTCTGTTCCTAGTCTAGATGAGTTCAGCAACCCTGGCATCCACTGTCAGACGAAGGACGAGGACGCACAGACCCATGCCAACCCTGGAGATTATTTCTTGCCCTCTAAAGTTTCCTTTCCCAACAACCATGAACTTCCAAAGCTTTTTATCTCAGCACATTTTTAGAATTACAATGGGAATTAGCATTTATTGAGTGCCTGATGGATTCATTCATTCAAGCAACAATTATTTAGGGAGCTCCTACAGAATACCAGGTTCCACCCTAGGTGCTAGGGTGCAGCAGTGTATAAGACCAAATCCTAGCGTTGTGAGGCTGACATCCTGGTGGGGAAGAAAGACAATAAACTACATGCCAGTTGCTTGTACTTATTTCGTCTCAATTTATTGTGATAATTCTGTCCATTGGCTGCTAACACCCGCAATGGATAAGATGCAGGCTTGGGATGGGAAGGCTCCTATTACCACTAGCAAGCAGCAGTGCCAAGATTTGAACCCAGATCTGTTGGCCTCCTGAACACCACATCCTTCTCCTCAACATTACTGTGATTCCTCGGGAGCAGGTAAAGCAGGGACAGATCACTCTTTTTTACAGTTTGGGGGTAAATTGAGGCCTAGAGGAAAGATGTGATACATCCCAGTTTATACACAAGTTAGACCAGGCCAGAGCTTGGGTCTGCCTTGCAGTTGATAAGTATTTCCAGACCCGGCACCCTGTGGCCAGCAGCATGAGGGATGGGGGTAGGATAAGGTGAAGCAGGAGCCTTCTGGGGTTCATGGTTCAATGCAAGAAACGAGAGCCAGGGCCAGGCAATGATTTGGACCATCTGTATATTCAACCCCAGAGTCCCTCTGTCAGCCACACTACCTTCCCAGCATGCTTGGGAAGCGGCTGCTCTTGGGGGTCTGGTGCAAGGGGGCCCTTTTCTGAGCAAGGGCAGCAAAGAATGCTTAACTCCCAGCCCAGACCTGCCCTGCCCCAGCTCTTCAGCCCTGCTGGGTGGGGACCTCACTGCCTCAGCGGGGGTCTTTGGCAAGAGAGGCAGCCCTGAGGCACTGAGCATCCCGTCCTAACATGTTTCTGCTGCCCAATGTTCTGAGGTCCGGACTCCAGCTGGTTCTGAGCAGCAACAGACACAGAAACATCAGGCTCCAGGTTATCAAGAGATTTCTCACCTGCTCTTCACATGGCAGGCGCCCCTTCCCTTTACAGATTGGGGATCTGGGGCACAGCATGGTTCAGGGCTACACCGAGGGCCGCATAGCGAGCATGAGCCCTGGGTCTTTCCACCCCATTTGCCTTCAGCCTCCCCCATCCCATCTGAACCTTCCTGCCCATAAACCGGTTCCTGAACAGGCCCTGGGGCCGCTCCACCTTCCGCTGCTCCAAGCTGCCACTCTTCCTAGGGATCAGGGCTTGTTGAGACAAACACTAGGTGGGTTCCTACCCATGGCTTCCCCCCTTCAAAAACATTTGGCCACATTTGCCCATTCTGTTTCTCTCTCTCTCTCTCTCTCTCTCTCTCTCTCTCTCTCTCTCTCTCTCTCTAT